CTGGCCGTATGCCGGTTCAGCAGTGTCAGGATAATAAATCTGATTGAACATACCAATCAGTTATGGCGCACGTTTTTGGGGCAGTACCTAGCCTTCCAAAATTCAACCAAATCCAATTGAGCAACACACTCAGCAATAGGTCCTGGTCTGTGGCTTTGATTTTTGTAAACGCGGACGCGTAATTTGTACGCAAGCTATAAATCTTGGCGGGAATCCTGTTGGTGGAGCTCTAAAAACCCCCGGAGCCACACCATGAACCATATATCCAGAGGGGTGGGCCCCCCTTCATCGGTCGGAAAGGCCAATGGCTACAGCGCCCCTCGGGGAGCCCCTTGAGCGGCCCTTAAGAACAACCGCTAGGAACTACCCAAGCTCCAGCACCAGGCACCTTCAAGATTACTTCTGGTACTCCACCAGACCCCCCGTTAAGTGAAGCCTATATTGCCCATAAACAGGGCTATATCGCAATGCAGCCGGTAACCAATGACACAAAGTTTCAAAGAGTGTCAAACAAAAGTCAGGTGTATCACAGGATGTAATGCCGCATTTAGTATTTGAAGGAACGTCGCAGCTATTGCGGTGAAGTAATCCTCCGACATCACAGTCGATATGCCCAACATTTTGAAACCGCTTCGGCTACCGGCTGACCGGGTCAGACTTATATTCAATATCCATGCCATAAGATGTTAGGAGAAATAGACAGTATCGCATCCTATTTACAAAGAATAGTGATATTAGTATAATGTCACATTCATAAGACATCACTCATGGACAGCCCAGGGAATACCGATCGAGTCAAACTTCAACCTCGTGCATCTAAAAGCTTCCGTTGGTTAGAAGGGCTGGGTCCCAAAATGTCTGTCATCTTCGAGCCCCCCTTCCGTGTATCATATGATACTGCATGTATTCTGGCAGGGTCTCCACCACCGAAATGTGATGGTGAGCTCGCCAATCACGATATCTCACTCGCAACCAGGCAAATGTCTTCCCACCAATGAATAATGACACAACCAGTGATGCATAGGATCGCCAACATCTGAAACATCGCCTTCTGTTTGACCTCCCTTCCCAAGCCCGAATGGCCACCGAGGCTATTTCCACTGCCCAGGCACCCACCCCACGCCCCCGCGTGGGCCGAGGGGCAGTCAGATCACCTAGTCACTCCTGACTTCAGAGAGTCCCTGCCTCCTTCCATGTAGGCGGTTGCCCATCTCCCCTTCCTCACCAGCCATTTTCGCTTATAAACACCCGACCGTGATGCATGATCCCGACCGGAAACCCGCCCGAAATCCACTCACAACAAACCTCACCTAAACGCAGGAGGAGCAGTCAGAGGTTTCCTCAAAAGCTCAACGCTCAAACTAACCTCATCGCTTGCACTTTACCGAATAATTCAACCTTTCCCCTTACATTCCGCGAGCCTCCCCGCTTCTCACATAGCAGCCCGCATCCCCGTGAAGTTAGGTTCCTGGCACTCCGCAGAAAAGAGGGGAAATTAAGCTAAATTGCTGTTATGGCTTTTTAGGAAACTCTGTCGTAAGAGTGAATCTGGATCTGTTGGCTCCCACTGTACTCGTACCTTCAGTCAGCAGGTTTCACAGTGTCAGTGTCGTAGTGATAAACACAATCCCCCATGACAATACGCACTTCTGGATACCCTCACTCACCTTAAAGGCAACCTTGCTGGTAGTGGGGGTGGTAGTATGGAGAGGATAAGTCTCATTCGAGAGTCACCGGAGCTCCTGCAGGACTCTGTATTTTCCCACTTATTTTTTTAAACCACCGGGATTTACCGGCAGTTCAATAAATTTCCAAACTTGTTCTCACACAGCATAGCCGTAACAGACCCAAGGATGGGTTATTGATGTGATGAGCTATAGAAGTAGGTGCTAGAGATAAAATCTGATAGAGGTGATGTGTTTATTTTTAGAGATTGTCCCCCTTTCCCCAAAATACTGATGCCGCGTCATACCAGCAATCCCGGGACACAAGTTACTCCCTCCGTTCTCAGACCCCCCGCCACGAAACCATAACATCTCTTAATTCTCGAGTGATATTTTGTGAGGCATTTGATTGCGCAAGATTTGCGAATCCTTGAATAAAAATAATAAAATCCTATAAACATATTGCCTTAAATTACTATGCACGAGCAATGGGAAACCCAAAATTGCAGGGAAAAGATCCGTCAATCTCTTCAACCGCCAAGGAAATAATATATCGGAGAAAATTCCAAACCAATGAAAGGTGAATGGGGTGATGGCAGCAAAATGTGCGGAGAAAAAATAGAGGTGCCAAGAAAGATAGAAACCGGCTTTCAAATGCCATCATGCACTCCGGAAATTCCTCCGGGCTTATCCGGATGCCCTCCGCCCGGTCGTCTCCCTATCTACCGACGTACCACGTGCCCAAACCTCGAAAGTTGGGTTCAAAACACAATCGCAAACAAAAATAGACACTAAGATATAAAGCAACAACGGAGAGCAGGATATCTCCCAGAGATTTACGTAGATATAAGGCAGGGGATCAAAAAAAAAAAAGGTAGATACACTAGTGCAGAGGGAAAAACATCAGGAGGGGCATGCTCATGGAATCGTGTTTTGTTTCATGTTCGAATTAGCCTTTAAGTTCAGTCGTGTTCATAGGTTCCTTGTCCTTCTTCACTCTCGTCATACTGGAATCGTGACGCATGTCGTTGGAATCGGGTGCTGGTACTTGCGATTAAAGTTACATAGCGATCATGTGAACTGGTAACCATTATTTCGTACTTTTATTCGTTCAGGCGCACCGGTATGGTGTACCGTTATATTTGCCGTTTGTTCGCAGAGTTGAATCAGAGGGTGGTTTATGACCTAATCAGCCATTTCCCAGTTCCCAAATCTCCTTAGGGTCCCCTTAATTCGATAGAACCTCGTGAGTTATTGTCGCTGAGTTCGGGTTCCTCTGCTAATGAGCTGCAGGATATTGTAGAACTTGTCCGAGGCGAGGAGACATCATATCTCAAGAGACCGGTAGGAAAACTCGTACTCCTAGGAGTCATATCATAATCGGGTATCGGTGGGCTGTACTGCCTCTCTACTATTTGGACACAAGTTCGCACTTCTCGAGGATCTTCCGGTGCTTGGTCCTCTATGGAGTCGGCTACGGCTACTTCGATCTCGGGGGTGTATATTCCCAACCCCATGATGGGACCTTCAGATTCAGCAATAGCAAGTGTACAGGCTGCTCTTTGAATGTCGCCCACGTCCGAGGTATCCCAGGTGTCGAAGTGGTCAACTTCCACACCGGCGGGGGTCGAAGTAACACAGTACACAGATGAATGGCGGAGCTGTGGCCGTACAAGGGCTGGTTGAAGGGTTTGATTAAGAATCCGATTCTTCTGCTCCTCGAAACTCGTTTTACAGCCATTGGTGGTAGGCAGAGCAGATGAAATGCCGTTTTTCTCTACTGGTTTCGCAGAAGATGCCTCTTCATCACCAGGTCTTGAGCTCAAGTGCGGACTGGTGGTGGCATGAAGTGTCCAGAATATAGTTTGCATAATCAGAGATGTAACAAACAATGCAAATCCAATGACAATCAAGAGAGCTCTCGCATGGCCGTACATCGACTTAGGCCGGAAATTCATCCAACCCAGCGCAAATGCGGAGGAAATTCCTGCCAAGGTCGTAGATGCGATGCCTACGAGCAAGCACGGACGCTTTGGTGACCCATGGATCATGGTTATGGTTAGGAATAGGCAGGCTGTTAGATTGGGTACTGTAGCGGCGATACATGGGGACGGAAGAGCAGAATGGACTGATATGGCCGATATCGAACACAGGACGAGTGATACAGTCGTGGCGGCTGATAGAAGCAGGGTAAGGAGACCTAGGAGACGGAGGGTTTGGCAGGAAGGATAAAAAAACATGATGTGAAAGAGTGAATAGGGTTGGAAACAATGATCCCGGACAGTTTCTCGATACTATTCGGATACAGTCCGGGAAGTTTCAGATAGAAAGGGAGCTAGAGTCAAAAAAAAAAAAAAATTGGTTCGAGGCAGTGGAGGCCGAGGGTTGGGGGGGGGGAATGAAGCATCAACAAGTTCCATAGAGTTGTAAGAAAGAGAATGAAAGATGGCTGTCGTAGTTGTCGAAGTTGGAGACCTATGTTCCCCTTCTTCAAAGCATTGCCCTTCTTAGATGGTGATACCTTAGAATATCTGTGCCCGGTATCTTGTACGGGAGAGGCTTGAGGAGAAGGACAGAAATAGAAAAGGTGCTCGTGTCCTACGCCATGAGAAGGCCAGGGCCTGGGACTCGGAAGAAATGAGATCAGATGTCAGGTGGCGAGGGAGGGGCAAACCAAACGGCCGTCAATGTGGGGAGAAGGGAGCAAGGAACCTTATTGGAGGAGGAGGGGGGTTGAGGAGATTGGAGATGAAGGAGGAGAGGGTCCGGCAAAAAGGTATGTGAATACTGGATAATGTGGGGAGATAAAATAGGTGGATGAAAGGGGATAATTATTCCACTTCAGGGGAAGGGGATATGGGAAACACAGTGTTGCCTACGTCTCTTGTGTTTTTGTGTTTGTGTTTTTGTGTTTGTGTTCTTTTTTTTTTTGGCACCGAAGATCTTCCCGAAGCCGCAGCGGACGTGGAGAAACAAAAACAAACAACGCCTGTGCCCGTGCACCGCCAAGCTCCGGTTGTCATACAAGTAATACAAGTAGATCTCTCATCAATATAATACCGGTAGTCTAATAGCAGAAGGCCCTGATCCCTCATTGATTTTTCTTAGTTTTGCAATATGAACCAAAGGTTGAGCGATCCTCTATAGAACCTTGCTTCTAAATATCTTGTGTCGATTGTGGCTCGTCCGAACAACTAGAAATCTCACTGGGAAAAAATGAAAATAAGACCCTCGTTGTCGCTTACTAATACAATTTCACTACTCCCAAGCGAGCGACGACGTCTTGGTGCTACCAGCCCCAGGCCAGCTTCGTCTCTCACCCTAACTCTTCCAACACAACCAGCAACGCAATACACCACCCCACCATCGCTTCATCCACCACCACTCCCCTCTCCATCTCTCTTCCCATCCCTCTTCCATCTCTACCATCCACAGGAGACCTGGTAGCAACAGATATCTCAGCTATTCCGTCTTTAACGGCTTCTTCTCATCACGATGAAGCTTACTTTTAAGGTATGTTGCCCCTCCCTTCCTGCTCGCCCCGCTGTTCTGCAATATCGAAATTTGACACATAACCCCACGCATATAACTAACCACTCTCCTTTCCTATTACAGGATCTCAAGCAGCAAAAGTTTGTTATTGATGCTGAACCTACCGATACGGTAATTATTGATTCTCCTCTTTCCTACCTGAACAAAAAACTTAAAGCAACAAAATTTACTGACTTGGCTGTCAACTAGATTTCCCAGGTGAAGGAAAAGATTAACAAAGAGAAGGGATGGGACGCCGCGGCTCAAAAGCTCATCTACTCTGGTAAGAGCTTTCAGTTGTTCCATGTAAAAGAAGTCCCATGAAATAATATAATCTTTGGCGATAGGTAAAATCTTGCAAGATGACAAAACCGTTGGGGACTACAAAATTGAAGAAAAAGGATTTGTGGTTTGCATGATATCAAATAAAGTATTTCTATCACCATATACAATTACTTGGTGGATAGAAACTGATAGTTAAATAAGCCTAAAGCTGCATCCTCGTCTTCCGCTGCTGGTTCTAGTTCGGCTTCCACCCCGGTGAAGGCACCATCAACACCAGCCCAAAGTTCCGTCCCCCCCACTCCATCTGCTCCAGCTCAGGCTGTGACAGGTTCCTCAACCTCAACCTCAGCCGCTGTGCCAGAGACACCAACTCCTGCTGGCGCCGTCGGTAGTTCCGCTTCGTTATCACCAGCTACCTTCAATGATCCGTCGGCATTAGCAATGGGAGGTGAGAGGGAGGACGCTATTGTCAATATGATGGGAATGGGCTTCGAGAGGAGCGAGATTGAGAGAGCCATGCGCGCTGCGTTTTTCAATCCAGATAGAGCTGTTGACTACCTTCTGAATGTAAGTAACGGGACTGGCTATACACCGTGCATGATTGCTTCAATCTATGGGACCTCCGCATAGCTAATTCTTTTCCAGGGTATCCCCGAACACCTCACACAAGAACGGCCGGCTCAGTCTTCTACCACACGCCCAGCCGCGCAATCGGCCCAATCTGCTGCTAGACCTGCTGCTGCTACTGCTCCTGCCACTGGTGGTAGCGCATCTGGAGAAGGGGCTGAACCTGAAAATATCAACCTGTTCGAAGCTGCTGCCGCCGCCGCTAGCCAGCGTGGAGGTGCGCATAGTCAGGGAAGATCTGGAGGCGCTGCTAGCCTCGGGAACCTTGACTTTCTCAGAAACAATCCCCAGTTTCAACAATTGCGTCAAGTCGTTCAACAACAGCCACAGATGCTCGAGCCAATCTTGCAACAAGTCGGCATGGGGAATCCACAACTTGCAGCAACGATCAGTTCGAACCCCGAGGCTTTCCTGCGCCTGCTCAGTGAGGATCCGGCTGATGAGGATGGTGGGGCATTGCCTCCGGGCTCCAACCACATTTCAGTTACTCCTGAAGAGAGTGATGCTATTGAGAGAGTAAGTCTCTTTCCCTTCCTTCATATTTTGGCCTTTGAGGTCGAAATCCACTGTGGTTAACGATTCCAGTTATGTCGTCTCGGTTTTGATAGAGACATGGTCATTCAAGCGTACTTCGCTTGCGACAAAAACGAAGAGCTCGCAGCCAACTTTTTGTTCGAGCAACCCGATGATGACATGGATGGCTAAATTTCTTTCCCCTTCCTTCCCCCTTCATACCTTGTTTTTACCACATTTCCCTAGTCTAATCTAAATATGGGGTGAACACTAAATTCAAACTCGAAATTTTCTTGAATGTGTGGGAGTGATGCATGAATGACTGATGCTGGATGACTCGCTTTCTCGTTGTCCCCCTTTTTCCATAATTCCATTATTACTTTCTTTTTTTCTTTCGCAGACACTTTTAGTTTTTCCATGTAATCTCTCTCCTCCTTTGTGAAGCCCGGGGTCGGCTATGAGCATTAAAAAAATTGGAACCTTGAGTGCATGTAAATCAGCAGCTTCTATCATTACTAGCGAGTTCCGATCTTCATCATTGATTGTTTGGAGAAGCATCTCCTATATCTATTCTCCATACCGATAATCCATACTGTAACAAGCTCATCTGATTCAATCACTGTGTGAGTGAACATCAATGGGAACAGCAGTTGAACCCAGAAACCCCCAAAACCCTTCCCACTCACCCACATATGATACTCACATACCCGTAAGATAAAGCCACACTTCTTCCTCGAAGAACTAACTTGAAGACACAGGTACACTCTCGGCTTTAACAAACAGCTTTGCTTTAGTTACAATGTTAGTTCAACACATCCGAGTCACAAAACCTCACTCATTTATTAATCTCGTAGGTACACAGCAGCGGCTTGCTTGAAAATTCTGTATCACGCATTCGGGATATCACACGAAATTATCTCGAGCGGAGGTTTAAACCGGCACAATCCAGGACACCACTGGGTAAGTTTCATGAAACAAAAATCTGACTCTTTTTCTCCTTCGCCGAAGCATAAGATATGACTCTGACCTCAATTCATGAGTCCTCGAAATCCTTGGCAAAATAGACCCACATCTTGGGAGTTCAAGTATGATACCTGCAGCAGCGATCAAATCAGTACCGTACTGTAGATAGCATCTCGGCGCCTTTGTGAGGAGCTCACTAGAATGTGCCTTTAAATCCTGCGCCGGTCTTACCCTTTTCTTCCTTTCTGATATTTTTTCCCTCACTCACTAATATCTGGCTTGGCGTTGGTAGGGTTTCTTTTCAATCACTAAAAAAGCCCCACTACAACAACAAAAAGCCCCGCACCTTACCATTCTTTTCTCTCCTACTCTTCTACTACAAAACAATTTTTCATCGCCGCCTCTACCCTTTGCAAACGAACACCAACCAATTAATACACCAATCCTATTTCCCACGAAGCAGAACTGATTAAAACAGATGGCTGTCAGAGCTCAGGTTTGTTCATAAATATACCCTTGGTGTGCATGGAATTACTTGTATGGATGCATTTCTAATCATGCGGTGATATCTTTAGTTTGAAAATTCTAATGAGTATGATTCACCCCCCACACCGCCGTTCCCCTGACAGTTGCCTGTGCAAAGGAGAGGGGACGAGAGTTCGGGTACATGTGCCGATGAACTGATAAATTGAACAGAGTTGGCGTTTTTGCGACATTGACGAACTCATATGCACTTGTCGCCACTGGCGGTTCCATGAACTTTTACAGGTCCGTTCTTATCAACTGGGATAGTGAAGGGGAGCAAACCAAACTGATGGGTGCGGTCTGGACAGTGTTTTTGAAGCCGAACTCGCAGATGTCATTCCCATTTGCCATACCACGATCGCCGGTACTAGAATTGTTGGAAGGTTGACCGCTGGGTATGTGAGATATACCGGTAAATGGGTCGGCGAGAGCACGGATTGAAATGTGGGCGGGGCGGCGATAGGGTTAGACTAATAGGGGTATTTGGCTTAGGAATCGGAACGGGTTGTTACTTCCAACATCGACAACAGACCAGGAATTACAACACCTAAGAAATTCAATTCCAGAAACTGTCAAAGTACAAAGAATTGAGGAGCGGTTATCGGCACTTGGTAACGTAATTTGTGCTAACGATCATGTTGCTTTGGTCAGTTTTATCCTGCAGGCTCGATGTGAGAATTGGTGGGCTAACGAGGGATGAGTGGTGATTGGGGATTAAAGGTTCATCCTGATATAGAACGTGAGACGGAGGAGATTGTTGCAGATGTTTTAGGAGTTGAGGTCTTCAGGCAAACCATCTCTGGTACTACTCCGACCCTCATTTCCCCGCCCCTCCTGTGATGTATGGGCTGTCCCCAATGTTTATCATCACTTGCGTGCAGAGAATGTCCTTGTAGGGTCCTACTGCTCGCTTTCAAATCAAGGCGGAATCGTACACCCGAAGACGTCAATACAGGATCAGGACGAGCTTTCTTCGCTTCTGCAGGTACCACTTGTTGCCGGCAGTGTTAATCGTGGATCGCCAGTAGTGGGTGCTGGCATGGTTGTTAACGATTGGATGGCTGTCACTGGTTTGTCTTCCTGGGAGCGGAGCGGGTCGTGGACATTCAAGCTCTAACCTTGGCGGACAGGTCTTGATACAACTGCCACGGAGCTTTCAGTCGTAGAGAGTGTATTCAAGTTAGGAGAGGGAATGGGCCCGAGCAATCTCGCGGGAGGGTTGAGAGATTCTCTGGTAGAGACATGGTACTAAATGTGGCGATGATAGTGTGAGCATCCCGCATCTCCTTCTAAATCTTCTTCTAAAACACCTTAAGAAGGTTTTCTATCTGGGAGGGGACAAGAGAGCTTACGCGTGAATATCAATTAGTACTTATTTTCATTCCTAGTTTTTTTCTACCACGCCACCGAACAGTTTCTTTTCAAATCACTCATATCACGATAAAATGAAGGGGGGCAATTGAGCTCCCGGGGCTAATCGTACCAGTTCGATTCTTCCCGTGTGATTTCCTAACATCTTCTCTCTGTCTTTCTTTCTCTTTCCCCTTTTCACCTCACAATCACCAAAAGGCTCAGTCCTTTACTATTTGTATTTTTTGAAGGGGGTTTTTATTTCTTTTTACGGGTGCAAGTGGTGCATTTCAACGTTGGTTTACCCTATAGAGAAACGTAATGAAAGTCCTTATTTCTTGCAGATCCCTCGACGGGAGCCGATTCGACACCCTCTGCTTGCTTTTTCATTTACCCCCTCGTGCCCTCCAGTTTCAGCCCTCATTAACGGCACCAGTACGGTACATTCGGTGCTTGCGGTGATCGTGAGGTTTGAACCAACAGTGGGGGGGTCATACGATATAAAATGGCCTTGCAGGCTTTGCAGGCTTTGCAGGCTTTGAACCGGTAGGGGGCAGTCTACCGAAAGGGTATTCGTGTGGGACAAGAACTGGCGCTGCCCCGCCTCTTTGTCTGCTATGGCCGGAAGGCGTTCGCTAGATACTCTTTTGGCTCCGCCTCTTGTCTCTTTCGGCATGTCCAGTACGATGCCCAGGCTACGACATCAGTATATTTCGCAGGACATGATATTTGGTCCTGTGGTCAAAATATTGGGACTCTGGGGTTTTGTTCTCGTCACTCTAAGGGACCTCCTCCCCTCACATTGCTTTTACAGTCGGTAAAGTGAGTGCACCCTGACATTTCTCTTCTGTTCGATCGAGGCATTCCCCGCAATTGAGTTTTTTTTTTTTCTTCTTTTTTCCCTTTCCTTTCTCTTGCCCTCCGCGAGGCGCAAGATTTGGGGGAGCGTGGGAGCATCCCAATGGTTTGTTCCTTCCTTCCTTTCCAGAAAGTTAAGTCGAGGCTTCTGACTCGGTGTAGTGATATCACTTCGCCAGTCTTTTGACACTGACGGCCATTTGAAGCTTCCTCATTAGCTAGGAACGTTAAAATGCTTCATCTTTCTTAGTTTATCAGACGACAGCCAAGCAGTGCTTTACAAGTTACCGCACAGATACAGTAACCATATCGGATTTTTCACTCCTCGTCACCATATTAAACCGTCATCATTAAGTTGACAATGCGACCTAGTCAGGGATCACCCTATATGCGTCAGGTTCATCTACCCGAGAATGATGTACTTCGGTGAGCCTGGTCAATCCCAACCAGCAAGGAAAATGTGAATGAAAAAAAAAAAAAAAGAGGAGGCTTGGAGCATGGCAACGCATGTTTGTACGTACTTCGTTCGTACATAGAGTATGGTAGTGGAGTGGTATGGAGAGAGAGAGGTTGGGGTGGGTTTTTTGTCCTTGTCAACACCAAGCTGACGGCAATAAGACTTAAGTGTTATGCGTGTAGTTATTTATGATGCCGCGCATACCGGTATTGCACGGTATTAGAGCTGCGGACTCCCTCAGGGGAGAGAATCAAAAAAATGTCGTAGGAAAGAAACTTTCGCCAGAGTGATTGTCCGCTCCGATGCCGTTGACATGACATGGCGAGTTCCCATCGGCTGGGAAGTTGTGAGATATCGTATGATACCAGTAAGTTATGGTCCTGCCCCCTTTTCCCCTTGCCTCTTGACTTAACTTAACCGTACCCCGCCAAGTGCTTCCCCAAACCCCCCTCGAGGAAGTTCGGTAAAACTCAAAAGTTTATCTATCGTACCGTACGAGTACAGCGGGGAGGGAGAGGGAAGGCCCGAGCTTTTCTCGTCTCACACACACATCTTTAGCCCCCTATCGTAGGTGGTACAAGTACAGTAACCTGTGGTGTTTATTTTCTTCTTCTATCAACTCTTTGCTTTTTGCCCTCGCTCTACGAGTATTCCTTCGCGCGCTCCCTACCGGCAGAGGTACGAGTACAAGTACGAGTGGGCCAGATAACCGATATCTCTACCGATGCTACTTCACCCAGGATCAAGGAAGGGGAACAGGTATATTTTCAAGACAGTTTTGGAATCTCCTGGCGACCGGGAGAAACAGAGACATTGTCTCATAGAACCTCTACTCGAGTACCGTACTGAATATCCCCCCTCGGTAACCAACCTGCTATCGCCAGTCCAGCAGACGAGGAGCTACTCGGGTAGAGGGGTAAATATCATACATCAGATGGACAAGCGCACGCTTCGCTTTGCAACGCAGGAAGAGGAGGTCTTGTGATCAGGAAAAATAAACTGCTGCATAGGGAAATGTCAGTTGAGTCGTGTTGTCTGTTCCGCGGTTGGGGCTTGGTTTGGGGTCGTCGGTGGACGGTCCAAAACGAGATAGAGCGAGGGGGTGAGAGAAAGGGGAATACTCGAGTGGAGGGGAGGGGGAGAGAGGGGGGGTTGGTACAATTGAGATTAGATAAGTGAGGACAACGCGGGGAAGGAAAAGGAACACTGAAGGGAACTTCATATTTAGCTTCACTATCGGTGGAAATGAAAATGGTGACGTGGGATTGCAGATTTGTTTCGAGTATTGACAAGATATCGGTGTACTCCCGTATGGCGGCGCAGTCTAGCTGTGCGTACCCAGACAACGAGAGCAGCGGGGGGGGGATTTCCTCTCTACGATACCGCATCGCTTGTCTCTGACCCAGACATTATGATGGCGACTATGAAATGAAAATTTTATGATGGTTTGTATGCACGATAGAGCGAAAAAAATATCAACAAACTCCGGATTCGCCCATCACGAGGGGAATGGGGAAAGAAAGGGGGATGATGAGTTAGTCTATGTGTGAGCGAGCGAGCGAAATGGATCGCAACAATTACGGTCAAACAAGAAACCGCTAATAATAACGAGGCGGAAAATTCCTCAGACGAAAAAGAAACAAGCATGCATTGAGCATTCATTCATTCCTCAAAGAGAGAAATTGCGGGGAAAAGCGTATGATGCAAACAAGACAGCCAGCAGCAACGCACTACAAGATATCCACCGTAGTCTACGGACGACCGTGCGTGCTCTCTCCATTGCAATGAGACCGCCGATCATGTCAGCCTATGTCACGCAAAAAATGGTGCGATATCGTATTATTATTGTAGGGTTGGAAGGGAAGTCAGTTCTCCCCTTTCTTTCCTTTCCTCCCTTTCCTTTCCCTCCTCCCGCTTCTTTGTTCAAAACGGCTTCAGGAGGTCATGCATTCCATCACGGTCCTCAATGAATAAATATGTAAAAAAACGGGACGGGAATTCCACTCGAGCACTCCTACTCGTATACCCATCCACTCGCTTCGCTTCGGATTCGGATATTGTGGGGAAAGTTGACGTGCTGAAACGAGAGCCAAGTTTCCAACGCTCCTACCTGGTTCAAGGGAGCGGTTATCATAATTTACCTGTTGTCGGAGAGAATGAAGGAGTGAAAGAGGGCCATTTTGTTGGTCCCCACCGGTATGGCACCGTACGAGTACAAGTAGGAGGGCATTTTATTTTATTTCACTCTGTCGAAGGAGGGAGGGAGGGGTAGGAGGGAGGGAGGGGTAGGAAGGGAAATAATTGGATTGTACCCCATGGTAAACTTTACGCCGCGAACAACCACATTCTTTTTCTCACTCCTTCAAAAATATAGTAATCGTTTGTCTTTTTCTTTCTTTCTTCTTTTCTTCACCTTCTTACCCTCCTCCTGCTCCAAACGCCTGTGGTGATACCTGTCGAGAGATATAATACGGTAAACTGATTGGTTTATTTGTGTGGCCCCAGCTTATTATGCTGCGCCCTAAATCCCCCGACAGAGAGGGATGGGGGATTTTCTGGGGAAAAATCACTAGACTTGACCTCGTACAGCAGTACTGTAGTCTAACCCCAACAACCCTCTACGAGTACGAGTATGAATAAGTTCAAGTTGTGTGTGTGGTGCGTGCGTGCGTGCCAAACAACAAAGAACAGCTTACCATACCGGAACATGAGTACAGTAAGTAAACATATGGAAGATTCGAGAGAGAGAGAGTTGTTGTTGCGACCTGTACGAGTATAAGCAAGGAAATAAGGTTTCATGCTATAGTAGTTTTTATCCCTTTTCCTCCCTTGGGAGAAACTAGGTTTATATATAAAGTACTCGTACTGTACAAAATACCAGGTATCACAAGTTGCATGAATTCCCTTTTCTTCTACAACAGTTATCACACACGCATACAAACATCTTAAATAAAAAGCGATAGCCCCTTCCCTCCTCCATCCAGGGTTACAAGTACCAATACCTGCATCAACAGTGCTTGCAAAGGCGGTTATGATACTTATATATACTACGGTACGAATAGAGAGCGGCAGTTGAAACTTTTTTCCTTCCTATTTTTCTCCCTCATCCAATCATCCATGATTCCATCATACAATACAATCAGCAAATATAGCACCGTACCTTACACACCCACACACCTTCCCTTTTTTTTTTTCTTCTCACGGTACTTGCACTCGTATGGGGGGTAGAATAAAGATGCACCATGACGAAAAAGAAACCCTCGATGGACCGATTAATAACTTCTTTCCCTTCCATCATAAGCTGTTTGATCGTCATGTGTGTACTGTACGAGTACTTTTACTGTATGATACGCCTTGCAACTAAAACTACCGGTAACTTAGCTTTTTTTTTTTTTTTTTGCCCTAAATTTACACCCCCTAACGTTTTATGATCAGGTATCATGGCTATCACAGGTGGAGTGGCATGGGCATGGACGTAATTTACAGTAGGTTCAAGCAGGGCTAGGCCAGGCCGGACTGGGCTAGGCTGGGTAGTCGAAACCTTGACCACATCTCGATCGGTCCATAATCTGTGCTTCAATTGTTCGAGGGTAACTGGAGCCTACCGTACCCTTTGTATCATACTTTTTTTCATAATAATTTTATTACTATTATTTTATTTTGCTCTTTGACGTACAATATAGGGTAATAAGAGGGGGCAAGGGAGGGGTTATTCTGGCGAGATTTATTCCGCTAAAAAGTTGTTCGAGATGGGGACCGGACAGGGAAGCACCATCCTCCCCTGCCTCATCAATGATCAAGGTCAAACTTTCTTTTGCCCCCCCCCCTTCCTCTTCCCCAGCGCCCTTATCCATTGTTCCTGTACGAGTACCGTAGCTACACTACCGCTGCCGTGCTATTGTAGAGGAGTGGGAGCTTTTCCTTGGATTGAAGGGATCGAGCGAGCAAGATATCGTCGGGCTTTTATCCATTGCAATGGAATTGAATTTCTCCCTTACTCTTCATTGACTATTTCCAAGTGCGATGACCGCATCGCTTTTGACGGCTTGATCTCTCTTTGGGCCGAGCCTTATCCACCTCATCCAACCCGAGACGACAGAGAGTA